TGAGAAAGCTGTGCTAGCTCCTTTGTTAGTTTCCTTGCTCCTCATAACACTGCTGTCTGAGTTTAGCTTTGCTTATTTGGAGCTTTTCACCTAGCTAGGACTGCATTTGCTCTCTGGGGTCTAGGATCTTTCTTTTTAAAAAATTTTTGGGGAGCATGAGATCTTGCTATGTTGCCCGGGCCAAAGTGCAGTGGCTATTCACTGACAAGATCCCACTGCTGATCAGCATGGGAGTTTTGACCCACTATTTCTGACCTGGGCCAGTCCACTCCTCCTTAGGCAAACTGGTAGTCCTGGGAGGTCACCATATTGATGCTGAACTTAGTATGGACATCCCATCGGCATAGTGTACTACAGCCCGGAATGCCTGGGTTCAGCCTCCTGAATAGCTGGAACTACAGGTGTGTGCCACCATACCCAGCAAGGCTCTTTCTATTGGACATTTCACACTTCATGTCATATCTCCCTGTCTTCTTGATCAGGTACTCTCTGCCTGCTACAGGCTTTTTCACCATAAGAAATTTCAAAGAACAAAGGCAAAATCATGGCAAGTCGTGTTCTCTTAGCAGCTCATAATGTTGCAATAGCCCTAGAACTCAATTTAAAGGTCATTATTATTCCTAAGAGCCATTTGTTTTCCCATAGGTACCCTTTCTGCCCCTCCCCTTCAGCTATTAAAAAGCCCTTAAGTCTATAGGCCTCCTTGAGTTACACTTTTCTGTGAATTCCTGTATGTATTGAAATCAAATTTTGTCTCTTCTCTTGATAACCTGTCACTTTAACTCACATGCCCCTAGACACGAAACCCATGAGGGTAAAGTTTCTCCTCTTTAACACAAGGCATTCAGTATGAGCTTTTTGGATGTCCTACCACCACACAGCCTCAATATAGCTGTGTGTCTGTTCATCCACTGCTCATCCTACACTGGTCCTGGCCCTCCTCCTTACCACTTCTCATGGGACTCCCTGTCTGCTTGGCACCCTCTTTTTAGGAAATATTTAAGATTTAGTCCTGGATTCTCTTTATTTTTCCTTCATGGATTAGCAAATTCTAACAGTGGCAATAGTTAACATCTCACTGAACACTTAAACTTACCATGCCAGACAGTGTTCCTAGTACCTTCCATAGAGCTTAAATAACTTGCTAGAGTATGAAACCTCCAGAGGGTGAAGGGCAAGTTTTCCCTTTGTCCTATAGTAGAAATTAATAAAGTCTGAAAATAAATGTGTGCAAATAATCCAGAAAATACTACACAAGAAAAGCACATTAGAAACTGAGGTCAAAGCGGTTCTGAGACCCAGCTGGTCTCTTCCATGCTTCTTTCTCCCCTGGCTTCTCTGCTTCTCTGCTTCTCTCCATGCATCAGTCGCCTCATCCCACTGCCCTCCAACAGCTTGTTCTGTTTGCTTATTCACAGTTTGAGCCTATATCATGCCAGGACCACCTCTACATGACCTCCCAGGTTCAGGGGTCACCACCACCTGGAATAGTGTTTCCTTCCCACAATTTGAAAGTCCCTGAAAAGCAAGCTGACTCACCTGTTCATCATTTCTCAACCAGCTTTTAGGAGAAAACCTATATTTGTTCTTACGTTGCTTTGAAATAGTTTGCTATGTGTCCCTCTGAGGTGGAAAAGTACAGGAGTGAACATTTCCAGCTTTTTACTATCCTTTAAATGTCCATTGTCGTGGGAGGTCTAATGTCTTATCTCATTGGTGAAATTATAAAGGACCTGGCTTCCTTGGGCTATCTGATTAATAAGAGGGTGCTGTGCCCCACAAACTACCAGCACTCTGACTCTTTCATTCCCTTTCTTTCTCCTTCCCCCTCATACAACTGCCTTTTCTTCTCTTTTCTTTTCCCTTCCCCATCATTCTCTTTTTCCCTCCCCATTTTCCTCTCACTCTCTCCCCCTCTTTCTTCCTCCCTCTCTTCTCCTTCTTCCCCTAAGGAGCACTTAGGGAGGTAGACTCTGCTTGTATATCCAGTCTCATGGACTAGGCACACCAACACACCTAGCTAGAGCTCCACTTTCTGGTTCCACTTTTCTGCCTACACCTGAGTCTATTAGGTCTACCCTTTCTTAGGAGCTGATAATCTGGAAGGCTTCATTTTGGTTTCAGACCCAAGTTCTCTAATCCAGCTTTCCCAGGAAGCCTGTACTTTGAGAATTGCTGAATCTATACAATAAAACTTGATCTCCATGGTATTTATTCTTAATTTGTTAGAATATAGAGCAGAGAAAGAGTATGATATTTCTCCCTTTGGAATCCAACACAGACCACAGACTAGCTTATGGTTGGGATGGCCAGGAGTCAGGTATAGCCAGGAGTCTGGGTCATGTTGTCTTACTGCTGGGGTAACTCCACTTCCTGGTTTGCCAGGGACAACCCCAGTTGATAGCTCAACACCCTACATCCTTATTATTATAGCCTTCTTTCTCTTAAAATAGTGTGCTAGTAAGGTCAATAAGTCATGCAGTCACCCTATCTTTTGCTCCCCTAACAAGAGCTGTTCATCAGTCAAGTTCTTTCAGAGGGGAGCATATATGCAGCTATCACTGTAAAATATGTCATGTACAAGCTATAGATTTCTCAATTTGGCATTTAAGACCCTTCACAATCCTTTTCCTGATTACAGTTTTCCATGCTTCTTACCCTTCAGCTAGACTAACGTGCCTGGTATTTTTTATGATTACAAAATATAAAAATTGTGGCATACTCATACAATACTATATTATTCAGCAATATAAAAAACTACTAGTATATACAACATCATAGATTTATTTATATATTTAGATTGCACTTATATGAAGTTCCCCAACTGGTAAGTCTATTCCTTGGTGATCAAAATCAGAACAGCATTTGCGTGTGTGGGATATAGATTGACTGGATGGGGGCACAATAATACCTTTGGGGAAGAGGGCAATAATTAGTATTCTGATTTTGTTGATTTTATTTGGGTATATATGTTTCTCTACACCCATTGAATTGCACATTCAAGATATGTGCATTTCACTCTATGTAACTTTTATCTAAATTTTAAAATAGGGGAAAAGTTGGGCATTTTTAAAAGACAAAATATTTTCTTTTAAAACTTAAATCACGTGATTACTTTCAGTCAAAAATACATCAAGTCTTAAATGAACGTTTTCTCTTTCTGCCACACTGTCAAACTGAGAAAGTATGATTTTTTAAAAAAAAATTTTGTTTCCATAGGTTATTGGGGAACAGGTGGTGTCTGGTTACATGAGTAAGTCCTTTAGTGGTGATTTGTGAGATTTTGGTGCACCCATCACCCAAGCAGTGTATACTGCACCCAATTTGTAGTCTTTTATCCCTCGCCCCCTTCCCACCCCTTCACCCTGAGTTCCCAAAGTCCATTGTGTCATTCTTATGCCTTTGCATTCTCATAACTTAGCTCCCACTTTTGAGTGAGAACATACAATGTTTTTTTCCATTCCTGGGTTACTTGCTGCTTTCACACTATACTAGCATAGTTGAGTAGCTGCAACAGAGATTCTATGTCCTATAAAGCTGAAAGTGTTTATCAACTGGCCCTTTACAGAAAGTTTACTGACCCCTGCTCTAAGAGACTGACTTGTCCAAAATTATACAGCTTGTAGGACAAGGTTCTGCAACTTGAATCCAGATCCACTGATTATCTCAATGAACAGGCTTACTATATACATACATATGTGTGTGTGTATATATACACACACACACACACACACACACATATATCAGCAATGTTTTAATGCTTTTGAATCATTTTGGGGACAGCCAAGATTCTTAACTTCAACTTCAGTCATAAAAAGCTTTAATTATGGAGGCACGGTAAATGCAAAATCCACAGATGCAGCCTCTTGAGTGCAGCTGACATGAGTACCTCCTTCTCACAACGAATCAAACAGATCCACTCTTTTGTCTTAAGCTACACTCAAGCTGAAGTGTATCACCTGCAGGATACTTATCTCTCCCAACAGTGCCATGATGAGACGTATTCTCAGCCTGACCCCAGCCATAATACTTGTGAAGAGTATTATACCCCTTGGTGCTCTTGTGACTAAGGAAAATCAATATAATATATGATCAGATGAAGAAAAGAAGTATCACCCTCACATTTCACCTTATTAGTGGCTTCTCAAGAAATTTTGTTAACATCTACTGACAATATCTGCTCTGCATACTGTATACACAAGGAATGCATTTGAAGCTCAAATATTTACCTCTTTTACTTCAAAACAGCTTTGTCAGATGGCAAGCTTACAATAACTTGGTAGATAGCCATCTGTTCTCAATAGGAAGTAAGTTGCTCAAAGGATTTGAATAGGAGCAAGATGGCCAATTTGGGCAGTTTCCCAATTATTACTGTGTTGGTTCGTGGTACCTATAATTTTCTTTTTCTATATAAATTCCCAGAAAATTAATCACATCCACATCTAAAATTAAATATACACACATATTTCAAAATCCAGCTAATTTTTGAAACACTCTAAGTTTTGGAATAAGGCCCATTCTCCCTTTCCTGGGTGAGGGCTGATAGCCTAGAATTGAACAAACGGTTTCTTAAATGTCAGAAAATATATGCATTTCACTCTATGTAATTTCTTTCCCAAATATTACATGGAATTCTAAGACCAGTGATCTATTAGGCCTTCGTGTGCTAATAGCGCATGTTGATTACAGTTATTAATGAACTTGCCAAGAAAGAAGGCAAAACACGTATATACTACAATAAGAAAATCTCTATGAGATACAGTTGTAAGGCAGTTTACTTCATCATTATCATCGTTATTGTTAATAAAAGCCTATTGGTCTTCCATTGGTTGAGGATTGAGAAATAAAATAAAAAATAAAAGCCAATAGGAATTATACTGGGCTTGACTCTCTACTGAGCTGTCAGGGAAACCTCTAGCAATATGATAATCTAGAGTAGAGAGTATGGGTATGGCATAAAATGCTTTACCTGCCTTAGTTAAAATGTGCATCAGGGGGAGACGCAGAGGCGCACAACATGGCGGCGGCAGCTACACAGGGCGGGAGAAGCGGTGGTCTCGGAGGCAATAGTGGGGCTGGCGGTGGTTCCAACTGCGGGACAGGCAGTGGCCGTAGCGGCTTGTTGGATAAGTGGAAGATAGATGATAAGCCTGTAAAAATTGACAAGTGGGATGGATCAGCTGTGAAAAACTCTTTGGATGATTCTGCCAAAAAGGTACTTCTGGAAAAATACAAATACGTGGAGAATTTTGGTCTAATTGATGGTCGCCTCACCATCTGTACAATCTCCTGTTTCTTTGCCATAGTGGCTTTGATTTGGGATTATAGGCACCCCTTTCCAGAGTCGAAACTCGTTTTGGCTTTGTGCGTCATGTCATATTTTGTGATGATGGGGATTCTGACCATTTATACCTCATATAAGGAGAAGAGCATCTTTCTCGTGGCCCACAGGAAAGATCCTACAGGAATGGATCCTGATGATATTTGGCAGCTGTCCTCCAGTCTTAAAAGGTTTGATGACAAATACACGTTGAAGCTGACCTTCATCAGTGGGAGAACAAAGCAGCAGCGGGAAGCCGAGTTCACCAAGTCCATTGCTAAGTTTTTTGACCACAGTGGGACACTGGTCATGGATGCATATGAGCCTGAAATATCCAGGCTCCATGACAGTCTCGCCATAGAAAGAAAAATAAAATAGCCAATTCTAAAAGTAGCCCTCTTTCTGCTGGATCTTGCTGAATTACTGCCTTGGAGGGTGGGGGAGATAAAAAGAACTTAAAATGGGTAAAGTAAGAAATGTTTAAAAGTCCCTGTTTTGTCCTGAAATTTTAGTCTATTCTGGATAAATAGGATTTTCTGACACAGATATGAGAAGTTGTAGCTCTGATGTCTAGCTGTAGTCTCCTTGATCTGCTGATTACATTATTTTAATTTGCTTTTCTGGGAAAGTAGTTTTGCTAAAAGCTGTACAGATGTTTTCTTTTGTACCTAGCATACTTTATATAGTATAGCTTTGGGCCATGGAGCATTTTAAGACTGAATTTTAAAAAATTATTAATCTGTTGCTGACTCTGTTAATTCCTATTTCAATATGTGTTTCCTTGAAAAATTCAGGATACAACGTCTTGTGTATGACAGCTTTCCTTCACACACTATTTTTGTGGGTGTGTATATATCTGATTTGGGGAGAAGTTAAAAAAAACATAGCTTTTTAATTTGTTTGAAACAGACTTTCTGCCTGTTACATTTTGTGCTTTTAACCAGTTAAAGAAGCCAATGGCATTTTAGTTTTATATTGTGTTTTCCACTAGTGTATCCCTGTTGATTTGTTTGTGCCTTTTATTAACTGCCATTTTCTAAAATTTTTTTCAATAAAAGGAAGGAAGATGTGAAAAAATAAATAAATAAATAAATAAATAAAATAAAATGTGCATCAGGTCATGGAACCCTCCTAATGCTATATAAAACAGTTTGCAATGTATCCTTCCACTGCAGGTTTTGTTTCTTAAGTTTTATTTTGACATACAGAAAAGTTGCAAAAATTTTTACCCTTCACCCAGATTCCCAAAGTTAATATTTTATATTTGCTTTATCATTGTTGTATAATATAGAGATAGATGGATGGATAGACGTAATGATGATTTTGCATCACTTGAGAGTAAGTTAGACACACGATGCTCCTTTATCACTAAATACTTCAGTGTGCATTTCCTGAAACTGAGGACATTCTCTTATATAATCACAATACAGTTATCAAAATCAGGAAATTAACTTTGATACAATTAAATCAGGAGACTAACTTTGATCTACAGATCTCTTTCAGATTTTGCTAATTGTCTCACAAATATCCTTTATAGAAAAAGCAAAACATTCTGTTCCAAGATTTCATCTAGGAGCAAAAATTGCATTTAGTTTTCTTCTTTCTTTAGTCTCCTTTAATCTAGACTCTGCAGTCTGATGACCTTGATGCTTTTGAAGAATCCAGACCATTTATTTTAAAGAATATCTCTCAATGTGTAGGTTCTGATATTTCTTCATGGTTAGATTCACAGTACATGTTTTGGGCAGGAATACAGAGAGATGTTTGGCTCTTTCTCAGTGCATCATATCAGAGGTACATGATATCTATCTGTCCAATTACAGGTGATATTAACCTTGTACCTTGGTTAAGGTAGTCTCTGCTGGGTTTCTTCATTGTAAGTTATCTATATTTCTCCTTTGTCATTAAAAAATATCTTGTGTGAGGTTACATTGAGACTAGGTAATATCCTCTTTCTCATCAAACTTGCAGCCACTAATTGTATCATCCACTGGTGGTTCTTGCATGAAATAATTATTACTATGAAGTATTACTATGGAGGTTACCAAATGTGATTTTTAAAATGTAAATGTTTTTTCTACACTGATTACTATATGGAGGGGCTTTGTCCTTCTTGCCCATTTATTTGTGTTCATTTATGTCAGAATAGATTCACTAATTCTTATTTGATTCAATACATTTTAAACTAGTACTATCCTTGTTTATTTTGATGCACAAATGGTTCCAGTTTTGACTAGTGGAAGCCCTGCTGCAAATCTCTGAGGTGGGCAGTAAGGTAACCTGAACTGTGTCTTATGGTGATATTGCTGGCAGCACTGTAAAGGGTGCTTTAGAAACGCAAGAGATAAGAGGTGGAGAAAACCATTGGCAACGAGGAGAGCACTAGGTACAGAAAGGACAAAATGGATTTTAGTGATCTGGGGAAGCAGAATCAATAGGATTTGGAATCTGCATGTAGACGTAAAGGAGAAAGGGTTTTTGGCCTGAGTACGTGGGAGTTAGTGATGCCACAGGTAAAAGCAGAGGAAAAAGAAGCAGAGGCAAGGGTGCAAAGGAAGACAAAGAGTTTTGTTTTAGGCTTGTGAGTTAAAGTCTCCAAGTATACATCCATATGGAAATGCCCAGCACAAGTAGAGGCCTGGAACTCAGAAAAGAAATACAGTAGTTCCCCCTTTATCCACAGGGGAGATGTTCAACGATCCACTAGTGGATGCCTGAAATTCTGTATATACTATGTTCTTTTTATCTGATAACCAAGCTGACGATGAAGTGACTAGCAGGTAGGTAGTGTACTGAGTGTAGATATGCTGGACAAATGGATGATTCACATCTGGAAAAGAATGGAGCTAGATGGCGTGAGGTTTCATCATGCTACTCAAAAGAGTGCACAATTTATAACTTACGAATTGTTTATTTCTGGAATTTTTCATTCAATATTTTTGGACCATGGTTGACCATGGATGAGTGAAACTGTGCAAATTGAAACCCCGGATAAGGGGAGACTACTTTAATGGTAAAGAAGTAGGTTGATTTAGGAATTGTCAAAAACTGAAGCTTTGGAAGTAGATGAGCTCACTTAGCAGAAGTGTGAGGCCAAAATAGAAGAAAAGAGGACCTTCATTCTATTCCAATTTGACTCCAGTTACTACTCCTTCCCTTTCAAAATTGTCTTTTATCTGGATTTTGATAATATATCAAAAAGGTGTTTTTGATATTCTTACTTTCTGTAGTGTCTTCCCCTTACTCCACCACTGACATTTTAATTGTAGGCATTCCCTAAGACTAACCCTCTTTTCTCGTATTTTTCCTTCACGATCCTGATAAATGAGCTCATTTACTTCCAAAACCTTAGTCTTGAGCAATTCCCAAATTTGCTTCTCTACTATTACAGTAGTCCCCCCTTATCTGTGGTTTCACTTTGCAGTTCCAGTCACCCATGGTCAACAACAGTCCAAAAATATTAAATAGAAAATCCAGAAATGAAAGATCAGATGAGGCCATGAACTTGACAATTAGGAAGCCAGTGTTATCTTTGAGAGAACTATCTTCATAGAACAGTGTGAACAGAAACCAATATATAGGTTAGTATAGTGAGGTGAGGAAGTGAAAATAGTGAATATGATCCACACTTTGGGAAAGTTTGGCAGTGTGAGGAAGATAGAGCATGCCTTTGGATGAGGCAGGAGCAAGAGGATTTTTCTTTGATTGGAGGATCTAACCATTGCTTTATGCTAAGGGATGGCCAAACTGTATCAGCCTGTGAAAGATACAAGATAAAAAAGCAGGAGTCACAGGCAGTATGGTGATGTGGATCTGACCCCTGTGAAGGAGAAAGGCAGTCACTGGCTGGAAGCAGCCTGTGGGAAGCACGGAGTGAGCCTGGGGCTTGATCCAAGGGGAAGCAGCACAATTTTGCTTTGCAGCAGAGGATTTGAGTGCCACATTTCCATGACTGTACAGTGGGCATGTAATAAATATATATTTTACAAGAAATAGATATGTCTTTCTGGAAGAAAGAAAATTACCTGAAAGAGTGTCCAATGGAAGCTCCAAAGATGGGCCAAGCTGAAAACCTTAGCCTGGGAGGACATGTTAATGTCTAATCAGTTGTGACATAGGGCTAAAAATTGGACCATCCAAGTGCATAGATGAACTCAGGGGGTTGTGGAAGGTTTGAAACGCTGAATCAAAGTGGAGAAGTATAATCTAGACAACATCTGGTACATTGACTTGTAGAGGCTCTGAGGACCTTACTTAGCCGAATTTAAATAGGCAGGCAGGGAGTTGGAAAGGAAGCAAGCAAAAGTGCCTGAACAGTTGTACTCATTAAACAGGGGTAAGAGTGCTGTTACACTGCGATGAAGAAATTGGGTTTCTGTAAAGGTCTTTGCTGTTTCCCTGGAAAGTTTAACATTTAAAAAATCTGTCATTTGCAAAGGCATTTCTAGGGTTTCCAACTGCTGAAACTAGGGTTAGGTGAGTAAGGCAGGGTTGTCAGAATGAAGGGTTGGATCCTGTCTTTAAGGTTTTGATACTTTGTGCATCATAGATTTTGCAACACTTTTTTTTTTAGTATTGCATAAAAATGTTTATCTAGATTACTGAGGTTTTGGCACCCCCTTAAATATTACACCTAAGGTGAATACCTCACCCATGTGCCAACCATGTTTCAATTTTGTAATAATTTTTTCTGTTTTTAATGCTGGACCATCTGTCTCATGTGACGGCAAAGGGCATTAAAAAGAGATAACACCACGGGAGGTGCAAGCATTTGGGGGAAGAAACAAGGATCTCTCTCTCTCTCTCTCTCGCTGTCTCTCTCTCTCTCTCTCTCTCTCTCTCTCTCTCTCTCTCTCTCTCTCAATAGACTTTGCTTTTTAGAGCAGTTTTAGGTTCACAGCAAAATTGGGAGGAAGGTACAGAGATTTCCCATATACCCACTGCTTTTATACATGCATGGACTCCCCCATTGTCAACATCCTCCACCAGAGTAGTACCTTTGTTACAGGTGATGAACCTATTGTCAAAACATTATCCCCCAAACACCACGGTTTACATTAGGGTTCACTGTTGGTGTTGTACATTCTATGGGTTTGAACAGATATATAATGACATGTATTTGCCATTATGGCTTCGTGCAGAGTAGTTTCACTGCCCTAAAAATCCTCTGTGCTGTACATCATTTAAAAAATTCTTCCTCATTTTGTAATGTTTCCTGATCAAATTTTGGATCATTTTGTGCTCTACTTTAATAAGAGAAGTCATTTCCTGAGAGATGAATGAAAAGATTGACTAGAACATTCAGGGCCTAGCTGGGGTTGGATAAATTGTATTTTTAATAGTACCAGATAACATAATTATAGAAACATTGTCAGAAAGCTAAGGATTAGCAA